AACTTTAACTTAACTTTAACTTAACTTTAACTTAACTTTAACTTAACTTTAACTTAACTTTAACTTAACTTTAACTTAACTTTAACTTAACTTTAACTTAACTTTAACTTAACTTTAACTTAACTTTAACTTAACTTTAACTTAAATTTAACTTAACTTTAACTTAACTTTAAATTAACTTTAACTTAACTTTAACTTAACTTTAACTTAACTTTAACTTAACTTTAACTTAACTTTAGCTTAAATTTAACTTAACTTTAACTTAACTTTAACTTAACTTTAACTTAACTTTAACTTAACTTTAACTTAACTTTAACTTAACTTTAACTTAACTTTAACTTAACTTTAACTTAACTTTAACTTAACTTTAACTTAACTTTAACTTAACTTTAACTTAACTTTAACTTAACTTTAACTTAACTTTAACTTAACTTTAACTTAACTTTAACTTAACTTTAACTTAACTTTAACTTAACTTTAACTTAACTTTAACTTAACTTTAACTTAACTTTAACTTAACTTTAACTTAACTTTAACTTAACTTTAACTTAACTTTAACTTAACTTTAACTTAACTTTAACTTAACTTTAACTTAACTTTAACTTAACTTTAACTTAACTTTAACTTAACTTTAACTTAACTTTAACTTAACTTTAACTTAACTTTAACTTAACTTTAACTTAACTTTAACTTAACTTTAACTTAACTTTAACTTAACTTTAACTTAACTTTAACTTAACTTTAACTTAACTTTAACTTAACTTTAACTTAACTTTAACTTAACTTTAACTTAACTTTAACTTAACTTTAACTTAACTTTAACTTAACTTTAACTTAACTTTAACTTAACTTTAACTTAACTTTAACTTAACTTTAACTTAACTTTAACTTAACTTTAACTTAACTTTAACTTAACTTTAACTTAACTTTAACTTAACTTTAACTTAACTTTAACTTAACTTTAACTTAACTTTAACTTAACTTTAACTTAACTTTAACATAACTTTAACTTAACTTTAACTTAACTTTAACTTAACTTTAACTTAACTTTAACTTAACTTTAGCTTAAATTTAACTTAACTTTAACTTAACTTTAACTTAACTTTAACTTAACTTTAACTTAACTTTAACTTAACTTTAACTTAACTTTAACTTAACTTTAACTTAACTTTAACTTAACTTTAACTTAACTTTAACTTAACTTTAACTTAACTTTAACTTAACTTTAACTTAACTTTAACTTAACTTTAACTTAACTTTAACTTAACTTTAACTTAACTTTAACTTAACTTTAACTTAACTTTAACTTAACTTTAACTTAACTTTAACTTAACTTTAACTTAAATTTAACTTAACTTTAACTTAACTTGAACTTAACTTTAACTTAACTTTACCTCTACTTTAACTCAACTTTAACTTAACTTGAACTTAACTTTAACTTAACTTTAACTTAACTTTAACTTAACTTTTACTTAACTTTAACTTTAAATTAACTTTAACGTAACTTTGACTTTACTTTAAACTAATCACTTACTTTACTTTGATTTTATTATAACTTAAACTGAGTCTATCTTTAAATAAACATTTATTTAGTTTTATTTAACTTCAACTCATTAATTAACCATAAACTTGAATTAAATTTAACGTAAATTTAAGTAACACTAAATATAACATAAAACTAACAAAACTTTAACTTTATTTTAACACAAATTTAAATAAACCTTATCTAATTCATTTAAAATAAAACTAACTTAACTTTGACTTAACTTTAACTTTACTTCAACTTAACTTTAACTTTACTTCAACTTAACTTTAACTTTACTTGAACTTAACTTTAACTTATCTTTAATTTGACTTTTACTTAACTTTAAACTAATTTATTTTATAACTTTGTTTTTATTTTGACTTAACTTGAGTTTATCTTTAAATAAACATTAACTTAAATTTATAAAACTTCAACTCATTAAATTATCTTAACATTGAATTTACTTTAACATTAATTTAACTAACTCTTTCCTTATTAATTTAACATGAAGCATACTTCACTTTTACTTATTTTTTACATAAATTTAACTAAACCTTATCTAATTAATTTAATATAAATCTAACTTAACGTTAACTTAACTTTAACATGACTTTAGCTTAACTTTAACATTGCTTTAACTTAACTTTAACATATCCTTAACTTAACTTAAACTAATTAATTAAATTGATTATAAGTCAAAGACACATAAGCATTAACTTAACTTCCACTTAACTTTAACTTAACTTTAAAATAACTTGGTTTTAACATATCTTTAACTTAGCTTTATCCTAACCTTCACTAAATAATATATTAACTTTAACTTAACTTTATCTTTATTGAAACTCAACTTGATTTTATCTTTTAAAAACTTTAACTAATTAATTTTAATTTTAATTTTAATTTAACTTTACTTTAACTTTACACCAACATGAATTTAACTTTCGCGATCTGGCTTCGGATTCGCTATCGGGATACAGATTCGAATCCGTTATCGGGATCCAGATTCGAATTCCTGATCAGGATCTGGCTTTGGATTGTTCATGAATTAAAAAATAGCAAACTGTTACAAAAATATTAAAACACACACACGCATACGCCTATATACAGTGCGTACAGAATAATCTCGTCGGAAGCAGTAGGCATTATCGCCGGAATGATCCCTATCGGCATCACTAAGGCGGAGGACAGCAAGTGCTACAGGCAGAGAGAAGCCGGAAGAGTACGGAAAGTCGTGAGAGCGGAGTCGTTGACTATGTGGCAACAGGAGTGGTACCTCGAGTGGGACACGACGGAAAACGGTAGATGGACACATCAGTTGATACCGATTCTTTCGACCTGAGTGAACAGAAAACACGGAGAAGTCAACTTTCACTTGACGCAGTTCCTATCTGGCCACTGCTGCTTTAGGAAATACCTGCATCGGTTCGGACACGCAGCGTCCAATGCGAAGGGAGATGCCCGTCCTCAACGTGGAGAATGTCGTACATGATATGTGTCGAGACCAGGGCACTTGGAATGCCGTTAGCAGCACAGTTGCTCAAATGTTGTCGAAGGTGCAGCGTAAATGGAGAGATGAGCAGCGATCTAGTAACACCAGCTAGTGCTAAGAGTATGAGAAGTGCATGAGCACAGCCACCCCCCGAAGTAGTCGCTTCACCGTAGTCCCGGGAGGATCAAGGCAGAGGAGAGATAAGGAATGGGTTTTAGTGGAGCTGTGCACAGTGCCAACTTCACTACAGGCCAGGCTTTTTGAAGGTTTCCTAAACCTTACTATGAAAAAAAAAACACACACACACACACACACACACACACGCGCGCGCGCACAATTCCCACCGCATCCTCAAGGATGTTGGAAGACAGCGGGAAATCATGCAGCAGGCCATTTATAAATTTATCCCTTCAAGAAATATTGCTTGATATCACATAACCTGATAACCATCGCGTGATGCACAATTCCAACGCATCCTCAGGGATGTTGGAACATATCCGGATGTAGCCCAGAAATCCAATTATGACAATTGATTTTACTCTGAATCACTTCTTTAAATAAACAACAATTCAGTTCGGAGGATCACAATCCCCAGACCTCCCAAAGGATGTTTAACTCATCCGAATTCCTCCAGCGGATTAATTATGACAAATGATGTCACTTAAAACAACAAACAGGGCAATACTTATCTTAAATCAACTTCCCGTAGCTAATTCCAGCTTCACCATCATGTATCCAGAATTGCACTTAACTGGATCTGGATGAAAAATATAAACAAAAATTATCAACATTGCCCCTGTTTCCGTTTGCATGCAGTATATTTACCTTGAGAGTATTCCACTTGGCATGTTGGCTTGCTGATTTTGTTGACCTCCTCGGTTCCGTTGGGAGGGAATTCACCCCGGTTTCGGTTGAATAAAAATCCATCTCGGTGTGGAGTCCACTCCCAGTCCGTGACGCCAGCAGCCGGCTGAAAAAAAATTACAAAAATTATCAAATTATATTCACCCCTGTTCTGTATTTCGTTTCGAACGAAATTCTCATACAAAAAAATATTTTTTTGTATGAGAATTTCGTTCGAAACGAAACACAGAATAGGGGTGATTGTTTTTGTTTTTATTGAAAAGTAGTTTACTTACCTTGAGTATAAAAATGTTCCGTCTTTGGTCCCGTCGGAAGACCATTCACTCCCGAATATGGCCATCGGAGGCCAATTTCACGGCCCGAAGAAAAACAAACGACTTCCACGAATGAAATAAAAACATGGCTGACCACGTAATCAGCCGCTACGAACAAAATCACAAAAAAATAAAAACAACTTCCATCCGCCATTTGGTAGCCCGGCGCATGAAATTACTCTAGCGGGGCGAGTCGCCTTTCGTCCGGATCCCGGAGCGCCATTTGGTCGCCCGGCGGATGAAATTACTCTAGCGGGGCGAGTCGCCCTTCGTCCGCATCCCGGAGCGCCATTTGGTCGCCCGGCGGATGAAATTACTCTAGCGGGGCGAGTCGCCTTTTGTCCGCATCCCGGACAAAGGGCGAACGATCAGTCTTCAAGTCGCTCAATGTCAAATGACGTCACTTTTTCGCCGGCAATTCGTGTGGGAATATGCTTACATACAACACAAGCAAGCAGCCTGTTGTGCTGCACCTGGATCAAATACACCAGTCGCTGTTCACGATTATGCATTCATGTGGAGTTTAACTCAACCCCAATATTGGTGGTTCCTTTATGTTGACTCGTTGTCGCATAAAAACAGGACGATATCCAATCAGTGTCGTGAACATAAATTGTACTAATATAATATGTATGTGGTAGCCAATCCGAACTGTAGCAGTGTGTGTGTGTAAATTTCATTTGGCGAGATAACCGTGCCGCACCGCAAGCTGAGCAGTTGTCACCGCGCGATTACTCATCCATCGGAGATATTCACCTCACCGATCGACCGACAACCGCTGTCATTTTTACCGTTCGCCACTGGCGTTGTTGTCGGCAGTCGAGCTCGTGGATCTTGTCAGTGCGGTTGTACGTGCGGCCGTGCCTGTACAAGAGTCGGTTTGTTGTATTGGTGTGCCTATCCCTCGTTCACACTGTGGAGAAAAGTGACCACGCGATCGGTGAGAAGGAAAAAAGCGAAAAGCGGCCTTCGGAAAAGGGAAAAAATTATCGATTTAGTGGAAAGTGCTTCAAGAAAGTTTACGTAGTAAGCAGAGAACTCGGATTTCCCTAATTTACAGCTGTCCGCCAGTGGAAGTATTGTTGCTTACTCCTTAAGGTGTGATTTTCCGATATGGGATTCCATTCGTGGGTGTAATCTCTGTTAGTGTGGTCTCTTTTTGAATAGTTAATTTTTCGCCAAAGGGGCTAAGGGGAAAGTGCCAGTGCTGAGCGCTAGCCTCTTTGATTAGCGGTGTTTACTTGCTTGTGTCTTTTTTGGATGTGTTCGGGAGTCATCCGAGGCCATCAGCGGTTAGTGGTGTGGTGTTAAACATAATAAATAATATTAAAACGCCAAGTTCATTGCTGTGTACCGTAATCAAAAGAAAATTGAGCGAATTTCATTGTGATACCACCAAGTTCCCGGCATCAAGTGTACGATGGAGCTACTACATACCATCACGGATACGTTTTGGTCGACCAAAATTTGGTTGCCCCCGAATATCACCTGGGAGGACATCCGACCGGGAGTGCGGCCGGATGTGAATCATGCCGACTATCGGCATCTCGTGTATCCCCTTCCACTGGCAGCAATCATCTTTGTGATAAGGATTTTCGTTGAGCGGTAAGTGTGTGTTTGGTCTTGAACGAACGGTACATAACCTCAATCTTTTCATTCGATATGTATAGCTGCTGATTCTAAATCACAATGCTATAATCTTTGCTGTGTATTGGTCAAAATTATGTATCATACAGGACATGGTTTGAAACTGTTTGAATTAAAAAGGCTGAATCCAGAATGAGACGACACGTCAAAATTAGAACAATCGGTTATCTGTCAAAGTCTTGGGAAAAATCATTCCAATCAAGCAGACAACCTATCAAATGGATAAAGATACCGCCTCTTTGAATGTCCCTATTAGACTGTTAGTAGTATTTATTTCTAGTCTGATACACCTTTGCTACCGCAAAAAGACAATAACAATAATTATTCATTAGAATTATTCTTCGGTGTTATTTTTTTTTTGCGAATAGAAACTCACTCTTGTAAACTAACAATACAAACAGATGGATAAATTATTCCTCTGAAACAGAAGAGACCTACTGGTGCCACTTAAAAAAAAACCCCGGTCGAGTTACGTCAAAATATAGGTAGCTTTCGTCCATTCCTTTCTTCACGTTAGAACAACGTGATTATATGGTAGATTTATCCCCTCTTCATTGAATAGACCGTACCATAGTTTCACGTGAAAGTTACGAGATTTGATTGATGGTTTTGATGGTATTTTCAGATTGAAATTATTTTAAAGGCCACTCCCAATTGCTGTCTTAAGTTTCATTATGTTAAATAGGGTTTTCAATGCAACTTGCATGAACTATATGATTTTACATGATGCTTTACATGCAGCTCGGTAGTAAGTTTTACTGAGATCTCAGCATAAACTGAGGTTTGCTTGCTGAGATTAGGCGAAACATTTTGCGAGACTCAGTAATCAAACGTCCCTTTTGCTGAGATCTCAGGAGAACTTTTTATCGAGCTCGGTGGTGCCGGAATTACCGAGATTAGTCTAACAAAATAACGATTTTCAAAATATTTCTTACAATGGATAGATATCGAGTAAACCAGAAGATTAAGTGTATTTGTCAACCGATTTGAGTATAAATATGGCATTGAATCTAGCATTGGTAGATCTTGAGGCAAGAATCGATCTTAGTGAATCGAGTTATTTTTTGAAAATAATCGATTCACCGATTTAATTAATCATTTTGAATCGATCTTGTTGAATCGATTCATTTTTCAAAATGGCACAAAAATGTTTCAAATATAACGGATCATAGGAAATTTGGTGCAAATTTACGCCAAGTTCAGTCTAAAAGTTGATATTACTTACGTTCAGGGCTCTACATTTTCGAAGCTCTAAAATGAACTCGTGTTTTGTTTCTCTCATACATCCGTGTTCTTCGCTTCATTTCTATAACGCCTAGCTAGACTATCAGCAAGAAACGAAAATAAAAAAGCAGGACGCTTAGAAGGTAAGGCTGGCTGTGGAACTTCTCGTCGTTGCTTTGCTCATCGCTTTCAATGTAACTAACGTCGATTTTCTAGTTAAACGAAACCTCATTATGGCTTTCAATCCCCTTTCACGAACACTCTATCACCGCTCTTTCAATTTGTTTAAAATGCGTTATGTCCCGTTTTCGATCATTTTTGTTTAGATAAATATATGGATGAAAGATTAATTAAAAACATTACGTGTAATCTTCAAGTGTTTTCACGTGAGAAATGCTTTAAATGTGTTCTTTCATTTTCCGTCATATACGTCATGAAACCTCTGTTGATGTGTTTCATGAAAGTCGAGCGCTCTTTCGCTCATCCGTTTCACCGAAGCTTGAAAGGAAGACCAATGGAGCGACGGGAGAAAGAGAGACAAGCGATTGAACATTTGTTTGTGCACGCCGACTGAGGTTCTAGAATGCTGCGAAGCTGTTCGACTTTAATTTTGGTCGATTGAAGCTGATATTGTGACGCCCTGCTTACGTTACATTAAATAATAGATAATTCATCCATATATTCAATAATAAATTTACGAATGACTATAATTTGGATACCTAACAATTGGACAGAATCACTAACAAGAATTGGTTGCGGAGTGTTCGCCTTCGAAAATGTCGATACGTTTTTCAGGGTTGTAGTTTTGGTTTTCATAAGTGGTTCTGGTTGTGAACGATTTAGGAAGTATTTTAGGTAACTATTTAGCTTTTTAGCACAGCTTTGCTTCTACGAATCCACAAAAGACATTAAATTAAATTGGAGGCGGGTTCTGGTACGGAATTACAGGCTTCTATTTTGAGCAACTTATCGTCATAAAATTAAAAATTACATTTAGGTATTAGTCAACAAATGTGTATAGTAAGTTAGATATGTTATGGTATGAACTTTTGCGACGTTTTTTGTTTAGTTAATTATTCTTGAACTCAGTTAAATCTCGGAGATGAAGAAGAAATATAATCATTTGGCGCAAACATACATAAAAAACACACACACACAGATACATAAACATATCATGATTCACGGCGAATGAGAACGACCCAAATTTGAGTTTACTTCACTCATAATCGCCAAAACTGCAGGAACTCAGCGATGAGTTAATTTGCCTCATGTTTTTCCAGGATTTTCCAGGGAAAAATTCCCAAATTTGAGAAAAGTAAAGATTGGATTCACTCAGTCTATTGGTACTACTCCGAGACTGAATAAAATTTTCGTCAATTTACTCATTTTCCGGCAGATTTTTTAGGTTTTCCACAGGAAACCATGAGACAAATTTTACTCATCGCTGAGTTCCTGCAATTTTGGCGATTATGAGTGAACTAAACTCAAATTAGAGTCGTTCTCATTCGCCGTGTATAGACAATTAGGCATTAGACAAGAAAACATCCAGGCATAAAACTGACGTATGAATGAGAAGAAGACATAGACAAAGACAGACTAGCGCTTACCGAAACATGAAGATTTTCAAGAAGATTATGATTAATCAATATCGTGAATCCAGTGTTTAATTGGTCACCATAGAATAATCCGTCCGGCATCGTAGTCAAAAATTTTCTCATCATTGCAATCCTATGGGAAAAAGAAAGATATTGTTATTGAGATGTTACCATGTTTTAGTAGATAAATTCAAGTCTAATCTAGTCTAATAGCATCTTCTTCTTCTTCGCATTTCAAGCTTATTTCATATCGCATATTAGCTTATTGCGTGCTCTCAACTTAGTGTTTTAGATGCACTTCCACAGTTATTAATTGAGAGCTTTCGATGCATGTACCATTTTTGCATTGGTATAATTGTGTGGCAAGTCCAATCATACTTCTATGCCCAGGGAAGTCGAGAAATTTTCCAACCCGAAAAATTCCTAGACCGGTCCAGGAATTGAACCCAGCCACCTCCAGCATGGTCTTGCTTTGTAGCTGCGCCTTTACCGCCTAATAGCAGGTAGAGGGATTAATGGCAAAATGAGCACCCATACTTTTTATGAAACTACAATCTTAAACTTAATGTGAAATGTAAATCTCTTTTGGAGCTACTAAACAATATATTTTTCAATAGAACTGATAATGATACTTGATTCTCAGGTGATGAAATAAATATAGGGTTAAATATCCTTAGTCTTTCTTAATCTTGCGCAGTTTAGCACCAAACGGAATGTTATTATTACTGATGGCTTCCAACATTATTTACCTTCCCGTATGTACCGTAAGATTTAATAAAGAGAAACCAATCGTTGAGATATTGTCAAAAGTCTAACACTGCTTCTTGACGCCAAACTCGGCCTACGGATTCTAAACTCGGCCTAACGCATTGAAATGCCATTGAACCGCCAATGAATTCACTTTGGCCTACCGGATGAAGATAAAAATGGATTCGTTCGGAGCGCTTCTTTTGGGCGATACCCTAATTTAGGAACATCACCAAATAACCTTCCACGAGCGTTATAATGTGTTTATATGTTATTTTTGAACTGGAACATCTTTTCCACATCAGCTCGTAAATTTAACATCCATTGTTTTGTTACTTTAATTGGTAAATGAACTCGTTTTGACTTTTTTTTTAGTTGATTAGAGTTGAAATGAAGTTTAATGGCGCTGGGGTAAAATGAACATATTATATTGCATCAACTAAACCCAAATAACTCTTGCTGGCTTGTCAATTACGTTGTTTACCTACGGTAGTAATTCTGCGAACATTCAAATGAACATCCGGAAGGCAAAATATGTCGGAAACGGCCTTAAAAGTGGCCATGGCCACTATCAAACAGTACGGAACATCCATAAGGACCATGGCATTCCGAGACAGACGCATCTGAAGCAGAGGTGTCGGTGGGGGCAGGACAATTGGTTCGTACATAACTGTTTTCTTACCCGTAGTGTCTCACGTTTAAAAACTAAAGGTTCGAGGCTATAGGATCACTACCGGCGAAGCCTTGCATATCAACCGTTAACGGCATCCGGAACTTTCGCTACGTGCTCCTGGTGAAGCTATGCATCTCTGAAGCGATAAAATCTACTATTAAGTAAGGTGCCATTATGTCCCGTACATCGACTGTTCACGAAGTTTGAGACCACATCACAAACCTAAATTGTATTATTTTAGCATAAAACCCTGGTTTTCCTCTTCCCAATTCATTCGACATTCGAAAATTGTAGCCATTTCGCCATTTAGGGGCATAATGAGCAATCAACTTAAGGTGCTCATTATGCCCCTAATCCCCCTATCTTCTTGGTAGAATCAACACTCGTTCAGCTATCTTTTAGTTTCCAATAATAGTTTGAAGTAAGTGAAAGTCGCAATACTTTCTAATCCTAAATTTGATTCCTGCGCTAGGAGTGATCCTTTTGTATTGTTTTTGCGAGGGTATTATACTACTTTGGTGCAAAATGCTCAATATTTTAAACTTCAAATTGGTTTGTAAGAACTAGATTTTGGGAATCTTTTAATAATGTATGCAGATATCTGTATAAATGCATTTAAACAGAAGCATCCACAATTAACGGGCACAATAAACTGCAGTGGTTTAAACAGTTTATTACACTAGCGTTGATTTAAAATCTTATAAAAAAATTATCAAATT